GAAATTGTTCATAGGTAGAGCATGCTCTTCGGTATCGAATTAATTGAGTTATATAAACTCTGTATAATGGTGATGAAGGTATATTGCTGCATAAGTAAGGGAAGTTGACGATATAAAAGTTAAAGCTTGTTTTTTTAAGTTACCATTTACGTCTTTTTCAAGTAAAATATCCAATGTCGGACTCTGTGTTATCGTTTCTCTCAAGCTCATCAGGATATATCATATCGACATGAAAATGGAAATTACAACTGTTAATTGACAATACGTTGTCCATATGTCTAAATATCAAGTTGAAGGCAACAGTAACTTCTTCTTTCAGGCATAGGGTTTTGCACAAATTCTGCTTCATATGAATAACGGGGCGCAACTGGTACCCATAAGAATTCTAATAGATTGTTGGAAGACCTTGTCTAAAAAACCCCAACATAAATATATTTTGTCAATCAGAAACTAAAGCACATTTTGATGTTACTTCATATTACTTTTTTGTTCAATCATAATGATTTTAAATATTTTAATGATGATCGAAAATTTGATTTAAGTCGAAGTCTGTTTCATGATACTGAGATCATATTTTGCATTAACTTTCTAGAGGGACTGGGTAAATTGCTTTCGCTTGTAAGTAAAAATTCCATTCATTTAAAAACAAAAAAAAAAATGTTTGTACTTTTCTGATTTGTGTTTTAGGATTGGATTACATGCAACTTGAAATGTATAATACATGTAGTTGGGTTTAATGAAAAATATGAGGCATATTTCCTTTTAACAATGCAGGAAGATAATATCTCTAATTAATTCTGTACAAACCTTTTACAGATGCATGTTTTTATTTTAGGATATCATAAAATATTTTTGTCTGCTAAATGAAAAAAAAATTAGAATTTCTTATTTTGTCAAGTATGTATGTTCATGTTAAGGTTAATACATCAATTTTGTTGTGTTCTCGTTATTGGTCTTACGTTTTTTGTTTTTTTTTTTGTATGACAAGATTGCTATCATTTTTATTGTAACAGGATAAAATTTCTAAATCTAAATCTACATTTTATTTTTCAAAAAGATTGGAATTTCTATCAAAGGTTTTATAATCATGCTAAGGTCAATCAATTAAAAATTTGTTTGTTCTCTTATTAGACCATAACTTCCTTTTTTTTAACTTGATATGGTTCGTTTTTTTTTTTTATCTATTTTCTATGTAAAACCTATACTTTCTAAATCTAAAATAAAATATTGCAATCAGGCTTGAGTTTCAAAAAAAAAAAAATCCATCATCATCCTAAGGTTAGTCAATAGAAAATTAACGGGCCATGACTTATATACTTTATTAACTATGGCCCATTTGATATAGTGATAGCCCATTCTTTCGAAAATTTAGAATAACATATTAATTAGCAAACAATTTGGAAATGTGAAAAGAGGCAGAGGACAGATTAGTCATAATGATAAAGGACGTGTTGAAGAAAATGAGGAACCTGTGAATTAAGGGTATATTAACTTCGTTATAAAAAATTACAGAAATCGTTATATTGAATTCAGCAAATTTGTTGTAACAGATTAAGATCGTTATAACAAATTCAAAGAAATTGTTATAATAAATTTCATTTGTTATAACAAATTCGACTTCGTTTTGTCAAATTTCACAAATATTTTTATCGGTCCTAAATGGGATTCCGTAGAATAATCTTTTAAAGAACAACAATTTCAGCAATTTAGGGGTTCACGTGGTATACTTTTGCATGGGCGCCGCGTTAACTTTTGCATCCATTAAAAACGATCGCAGTGAAACCTATGGGGATTGTTAATTGTTTGAAAAATACCAAGCATTGCCATTTAACAAGAACAGGAAGTGATTAAATATTTATCATTCCATTAAAACTCTCTGGTACTAAGCATGAAAAAATAATCTCCTGTATAAGTGATTACTTTATAATTCTTAAAATCGAAGTAGTAATCAAAATAGGTCGACTGTTAAAAATAAGCTAATGGAATGGAAATTCTTGTAGAAATAAAATGCTTGCCCCAGTATCTTTTTACTTCGAGGAAAAATTGAAATCATGACATGATAGACTAAGAAATATAATTGATGCATCTGATAAAAGTAAATTTCACAAATTCTTCTGACAAATTTGACTCTTACAAATACTCAGTTACGGTCAAGAATTATTCGTTAACAAACTATTTTATTTTCAAATATGGCCCAAGTTAAAATTAAGTCGAAACTAGCATGTTATTAAATGTCCTTCGGGCGCAATTTTAAGAGTCGAGATATAAAAGGACAGTTCAGCAAGGCTCTCATTTGTAAGAGTAAAGAACAAAAAAGGCATTTTTTTTTTTAGAAATTTCAGCAACGTCAAGACATGTAAATTGACACAGCTGGGAGCTGCGAGGGCCAAATCGCCCCTCTTAGAAAGTAGTATATATGAATTCTCTATATTTCAGAATTAACTCTATTTTGGCATACATGTATCATAGTGATGAACACGACTCTTAGATCCAGTTTTCTGACCAAAACCAACCCCTTTTCTTCCTAAAAAATTGGAACTTGCGAGGAATGCTAAAAGAATACATTTACTCTATTATATATTTTCATTGAGTTTGTTTATTCTTCTCTCTCTATGTCTGGCTGTCTCTGGCTCTCTCTCTGCCTTCATTAGCTTAATAAATATTCAATACTTGATATCGGCAACAATATGGGCAAATACTCTCTGTACCTATTGTTGCCAACGACAAATTGTGCCTATATATAACTGTATCTTTTGTCGTCTGTTATGCAGAAAAATAAACATAATCTCGGCACATATTAATGCCGGGTACAATTTGTTTCGAATATGCGCAGTGAGTCCGACGACAATATGTGCAGAACGATAATATGGACATTCGAAACAGTTCTTTTTCTCAATACATTGGGATGTCATACTCAATAGATATAGTTACTTAATCTTTTTCTTTTTTTAATATTATAGATTTCCTATTCATTGATTAAATACAAAACAAAAGCGTATGCTTCAAATAAAATAAATTGATATATTGTTCAAATCCCACTGTGGGATGTAAAACCATTCCTTTAGATGAGACCGTATAAACCGAGACCCCTTTGCGCAGAAGGTGCTGGTGAAAATTCCGCGAGTCTAAAGCTGCTTTCCCGCGGTTGAAGAGCAAAATTTGAACCTTAAAATTATCACAGCAAGTTAATAATGAAAAAAAAAATGAACAAAATTGTCATGCTTAAATACATCTTGTACTTAATCGTCATTGTAATAAAAAAGCAAAATCCATTACATTGAATATGTTCTGATTCAAAGTCAATGATATAATCCATAAATGAATTAAAGAAAAATTATCAATACTTCTTGAAATTTACGTTTCTACAAATTAAGAAATAAATGTCTGTTAAGTCTTTTGCATTCTTCTCACAAGATATTCAAAAACTGAAACGCTTAAAGTATCTTTATTTATTAATGCATGAAGAACAAATCCATAGAAATATTCATTCTTTAAATGTTGGCATACATGCTATCCGAACTCAGATATTCATACACAGCCTTGTAGCAAAACTCGTTATTCTTCCTATGCGAAAAAAAAAAAACATTTGTATAATGTGTTTTTCAGAGTTTTAAATACATTAAATTTAACATGTATATTCGTACAGGTTTTACATGTGCCAATTACCTTGGTAGATATCATTTCTGGTCGGCGACATTGCAGTTTTTGTACTGTTGTGAATATGTCTACCTCATCGTCCTGTTGTAGTTGTTCTATGGCGTTATACACAGCAATAAACAATCCACAACACGTCGCTCCGTCTCTAGAAAAAAATATAATGAATTTGTCTTCAACAAAACTTTTTCTCAGCCAATTATTATTCTTATAAAATACTTGAGAAAATCTCTGAGCATTCACTGTTCAAAATACATATATTTCTTCTAAGTTGTAATACATACTTGGAAATAAGGGTCACAGGGCCATCTGGTTTTGACTTTCTATCCAAGTAAAACTGTTTTATCAAATTTGTTATTGAAGAGGGTTGTGCTGGTAGAAGCTCAGACAAGCTCCAGTCAAGACATTCAATTATCTGTACGGTACTTCATGAAATTCACCCTACATATAACGTGGAAAAGGGTTTAGGAAAATACATACCAAATTCCTTTTTACTTTTTTTCTGTTCATTTTTGTCTCTCAGGGGATTTTCTAAGGGACAAAAAAAATATAATTTTAAGTTAAAGATCTTTGTGACCTCAAAAAACAATCTCATTCTATTTGAATTTTGTGTATTTTTTTTTTTTACATGCAGTTGAATCTTCTAATCCATAATTTCTATCTGTACTGACTTGAATATATATCACAATGAAAATAAACTTACGTGTTTCCTTTTGATTTTAATGTCTGTTTTTCGAAAGTTGTTTGTAACCATTTGCTGTGTACTCTTTGAGATTTCATATGGAGCCAAATCAATCTTCTTAATATTGTTGTCAACCCAATCTTTTATCTTGTTAAAGAGAGACAATTTACTGGTATAAATAAAAAGAAATCATTTATTTAAAAATAATTCAAAATATTTTTTTTACCTCATTAATTTCTGATAAAGGGTTCATTGAGATCAGGAATGAAGAGGTCTGATCAATCAGCAATCGAGCTAGATCAATGGCGGCTCCAGACACCGGATATTGCGCAGAAATAAACTCTTCAGCCCTTGTAAACGACTAAAAAATATCAGAAAACAAATCTATAAATATTGTAACACTGTTTTCAAATGATTTTTAATTGATAGAATCACGTCAAATAAAAATTATCGAGACATTAACTGCATTGTAATATTGTTCTCGCCCCTTCACAGTTGATGTTAAATACACAAGATATCTTTCAACTGAAATGTATTAAAGACTGAACTTTTTTTCATATGAATATTCACAAATAAATTTACTTTATTCATTCAAAATATTTGATTGTTTTCAAACATCACATTTTAATATTTATATTTTTGAAAATTACACTAATGGCATCACCTGGTAAAACAGAATTAGTAAAACTGAGCTTCATGTACCGTCGTCCTGTTCCGTAATCATCAGCGGTGTAGTGTGGCTTCAAACTAATCACAGCCTTGAAATCCAAAATAAATTTATTTAATACTATACAGTTAAAGTTTGAAATAAATCTGCCATGCTTACTTGTCAATGAAATTAGCTGGAATATTTTATTGATTAGCATGAATATTAAGCATTATCATTAATTTCTAGGCAATTATTTAAACATATCAATACGTGAAATTCATTTGTTTTTAAATGTTCATAATACTTTTTTAATTGCATCAGAACCTTATATGTATTTCTAAGTCGTACGTTCGATATTGAAATGATCTTATTTGACTACAATATAGAAAAATATAACATAAGTTATACTATATACCGTTGGGTCTTTTCGAAGTTTATTTTCAAAAAAGTATGACTCAAAATTTGCAATTAAAAATTGATTCAGCGATTCTTTCAAAGCAACAGTGCACTTAACATTACCTTTTTATCAATTGAATTTTCAACTTGATCATGTGTACTTTAATCATAATTTACCAAATGTAACGATAAGAAGAAATAAATCCTTTTGATGAAAAATAGTTTGAACTAGAAAATACTAATTGAATAAATCCTACAAATTTATACATATAAAACTTCACATGTAATGAATTCAAAAATGCTACATCCTTTGGTGACTATAGGGCTCTTTGAAAAGCAAACTAAATGATGCTTAATTTGTCATCTGAAACAATATAATAAATGTTTCATTTGATTGATCCTTCATTAGATTCATAGATACAATTATAAAATAATGTTATCAGTCATCTTATATATGTGAAAGTATTGTTCTGTAATGGAAACATAGTTTTGAAATTTAATAGTTACTCACATTGAATTCATTCCTAAGTCGTCTTCTTTTTTCTGGTTTTTCTATTTCGCCATACAACTCGATAAACTCTGTTCTGCTGATAAAATTCGCCTTTCTTCTGAAGTACACATACAGGGCGTGATAAAGGAATACGTACTGATCCTTAAATGAAAAACAACTGGGATTAGGTTTTAAGATAGTACATTGTAATTTTCTCCATTTAAAAATTTAAAATTGACACGTATACCAAGAGAGGCACACAATAAACAACTTACAGCGTTTTGAATCATGGTCATCCTGTCTTTACGCATGGCCTTAACGAACTCGATGACGTTGATTTTGTCGTGTTCCTCACCGTACCTCGACAGAACGTCCAGAGCTATGAACGTTCCGGTTCGCCCGATTCCAGCGCTAATTAAATACATTAATTAATAAAAATATTTAGGGTCAAATCAAGAAAAAAAAAATAAAGTCCCTTTTGTTTTATACACGAACATGTAATCAATCTGTCGTCATTTATCTATTTTTTTTTTTTCAGATTCCTTCTTCATATACTTTATGTTTCGTATATTCATCTATTGACTTCAATCATATCAAAAGAAACCGGGATAAATAAATTTAATCTTGATATAATTTCAGGAGCTGAAATGCTTATAAGTAAGTTTAGTTTTTCTGTTAATCTAGATAGAAATATAACAATATCATGTCTATGATTGTTTTGCTTTAATTGTTAAGAGAACGGACAGTTTAAAACATGCACCTGCCATGTCAACCTAATGAAGGCGGTTCACTTTATGCATAAAATGGCCCTGTAGATATACCAATTGATTGATTAACACTTGATTGTTCATTTGAAGCATTAAAATAAAATAGAGAATTCATGTTTTCATATCCTATTAAAAATTTTCTCCTAAGCGTCCAGGTCTCGGAGAACTGGCTTTATGAAATTGCAATGTTCTTGAATTTTTATGTAAACAGGTATAATTGAGTACTTTCAGTGAAGAAAGATAATATGAGCGCACTCTCTGATCTAAAAAATAAAACACGTCTTTTAATCTTAAGAAACAGTTCTATCATTTATTAGTTGCATATTTTAGATTAGAGGTTGCGCTCTATATACGATATCGAAAAATAGCTTTAAAAATTTTCCGATTTTGTAGACTTTTTCAGAAAATGAGGGAATTGACACATTTTGAGACGTCATAATGCATTGACTAATAAGAAAATTACTTCATTTTTGATAGATACGCAATCACCAAAGATCTAAGTGATATTCAATGCATTGTTAACAAAAGAATGTAGTTTCAGTTTTTTGAGAAATTCACAGGGCCAAATAGGGCATAAGTGAACCTTGTCCTTTTAAATACCGATAGCCATTGCTACCTAAAATTTCCTAGAACACGTTTGTAAAGCAAAATGCAAAAAATCAATTTGACACAATTTCAGTTGACAAATAGACCCAGACCTGCAATGAACAATAGTTGGGTGATTGTTGGGTCTGTTTTAATGCCGGAAAAGTCTGAGAAACATAATCAGGTTCATCGGATTTGGTGTTCCATGGTCAGGCCATCTGGTGAAATGGAACTGTACAACTCTCCTTGACACAGATACCTTTTGAAAATATGTTAGCAGCAGTATTCGTTTGTAACACAAGGCAGGTGTATTTATTACAACAAAATTTTGATTTCAACGGGTACAATTTTATATAAAAAAATTACCTTCTCTTTCGAAAGATTCATTTTCCTAACAACATAGTATGCATATGCTTTTTCTTCAATCATTTTCACAGAGAATGGACCCTGTCTTAGTTCTTCCCTCTCATTTGGCCAATATTGATTACATTTTACCTTTAAATAGGATATTTCAAGCGCATGTGAATCCTTTTATTGAAAACAATATAGGAATTAAACTGTTTACATTGTTAGATCTAGAATCATATGTTAGAAATTAAAAGAAATGATAACAATGTTAAAATAAAGCATTGAGCAATCTGTGTATACTTCTATATATAGGTTTATAATGTATTTCCCTTCCATGTTATATTCGCACTTGCCAACACATGATTTTCATATTTTAATTTGCCGGTTGATATTTCTGTTTAAGAAATTAAATACTATTTTCTTTGAATTTGCCCCCTTTCGCCCAGCTTAGAATAATGCAAAAATGGTGATGACATAATTTCCTGTTTGAAGTACTCATTGGATTTTCAAACCTTTGGTCCCTCAGTAAGATTGGTCAACAAAACGATGTATTCCACGTCTTCCTGCCATATCATTCTCCACTGCTCAACAATAGTGTTACTTTGGGGACCTGCAGAAAATATAAAATTTTTCTTTCTTATAAATGATAATAAAATGTTCTACGAGGACTTTTCACTTAATAATGTCCTGAACTGTATGACATTCAATATAAATATCAAATGACATTAAGCTTGACTTTTTCCCATTATATAATCTTTAATGAATTTATAACAATTTATGTGACCACTTTTCATCACATAGTTTCATTGTGAGAAGCTGGAAAACAAGGGATGTTCGAGGCACTGCATTATAAATGAATGATAAAGAATCAGTAAATTAGAGTGAAAATAAAAGCATCATTAAAGCTGCTGTAAAACTTGTTAAAATCTAAAAGAGACATTTACTGAAATATGTGAAATTTACAGCATTCAATGCCTGTTTTATCTACAAATGAACAGGTGGATTTCGATGACAAAAAATTATATAATGGACATCAAAAATGGGTACCGTCCTTGCCAACAAAAATAATATTCCAACTTATGTACTGTTTGTCAAATTTCAACAAATAATATTTGATGATGTATGATTGACTTTGAGGCACATAGCAAAGAGCTAATTAAAGCCACGAACCATCGAAATACGCCTTAACTAAAAAATCTATGAGAATTTCAATAAAGATGGTGTAGACTTGTAGCTTTTCATAACTATTTTCCTTTTTCAGATATCTATAATACTTTTTCAATAAGAGATTTGACAGTATGGCATTGTTGTGAATGAAATTTACATGAGGATCGTCATTATTTGTAATGTAACGTCATAACATCGTAAAAAGTCCTTTGCTATAGAATATTCTACAGTTAACTGCTTACTTTTGTACACCCGAGCGTTACAATAGTTCTTTTCTTGTACATTTAGTTTTAAAAGTACTTACCGGTAGTACTCTATACATATGTTACTGCATTATATGACATAATTTTTTTTTGATATACATGTAATAAATTCTGAAAGTTTTCAAATTTTGTGACTGGATAAATTTTAAGTGAAGCCCGGCGCAGTAATTGTTAAATCTTTTTCTAAACAAGAATCTGAGCCTATTATAAAGAAATAGAATTATCAAAGTGAGTACGTTTGTTTTTGTGTATGTGACGAACTCAGATCATTCGTGCATTTTGACAATAAAATATATGTCTTGCAGAATTCTTCAAGTTTTAAAGAAAGGGGGCAGGGGGAGGGGGGAGGGGGCAGGGGTGGAAGTAACATGAATTTGATTTGAAAGATAAATATATATAGATTGTAGCCCTAAATTCGAGTGTTTCTAGTTATATTACCAGGTATATCATAGTCCGCTAGATAATATTGATATCACACGTTCTTGGATTTAGATTTTTTTCTTTCAGGTATGTATCTTTTCCTTTATGCAAAATTATATAGTGTATTTTTAATTCTCATGTTCTTTATCGCTATCACTTCTATTTTGTCTTGGGGGGGGGGGGGGGGGGCGTGACGTAAGACATGCATTCTAATACTTTAATCTTAAATTATATTATTAGGTACTGCATTTAAAAAAATCGTCGCTTATGTTATTGTTGAAAAAATCAAGTATCTTAATAAGCAAGGGAGTGTGGCTTGTCTCCAATATTACACTCGTTTGTATATAAAAAATATTTAAAATCGCCATGCATACTCAGCACGGTAAGATTGATTGATTGTATATTGTTTAACGTCCCTCTTGAGAATTTTTCACTCATATGGAGACGTCACCGTATGCCGGTGAAGGGCTTCAAATTTAGACCTATACTCGGCACTCAGGGCCATTGAGCAGTGAGGGTTCTTTATCGTGCCAGCGCCTACCGTGACACGGGACCTACGTTTTTAAGGTCATATCTGAAAGACCCATGACTTTCACTTCTGATGCCGAGCGCTTGGCGAAGGAACAGTCACTAACTATTTTTACGTCTAAGATTTGACGCGGCGCCGGGAACGAGAATCGAACCCGGACCTCCCGATCACGAGGCGAACGCTCTACCACTAGGCTATCGTGAACGGTCAGCACGGTAAGAATAGTACTACATGTACCCTGGAATGGGACGAATTATATTTCGACCACTTCCTCTACTTTTTCAGTAGATTATTTATCGCCGTTTTTTTCTCTTCCTGCTCCTTTATCCGTGACAATCACTACATTACCACAGTTTTTTTTTATATTTGAAGCGAAACTAATCTAACTATTAGTCATAGTGAGGGACATCCTAAGTAACAAAATTACATGTCTCAATTCGCGTTCACTGTACTGAGATATATAGATGTTATGTATATAAAATGGAGTGAAAATGAAAGCTTAATTTGTTTTTTCACTTATCTTTAATAATTGTCTTCCCCAAGTAACACTTTACATTACTTCTGCAGATATTTTCTTCTATCTGTAGATAATTCAGTAATATGTCCGATCCATGTTATGTCTGATCACAAGATGTGAATGAGGAAGCCTCAAGGCAAACCAATTACTTCTAAAAGGTAAATTAGGGTTCAAAATCCATGTCTATTTTTATTCTTTTTAATCGGGTAACCTCGGTATTTACCTCAAAATGCATTCAGATGTTACAAAATTTCGGACACATTTGACCAATTTCTATAGTAGATACGAGACGTACTTCTTCTATAAGGTATACGTGTGCGGATAGATCATCCCGAGTTATTCAATTTCAGAGTTATTAGATTACCAATTTCTTTTTTTTTTTCGTTCGGGAAAAAAATCTGCGTCGTTTTATTTTTTAAAGGTATGCCAAAGAAAATGTTCTAAGACATCGTAAAAGGTTAATAAAGAAGGGAAAAGCTACGGAGAGAGAGATGGTGAGAGAGAAAGCACATGCGTTTTAGAGCTTAGAGTTTTAAAATAATGTTAGCTTACTAACTGTAATCCTAAATGCAAAATATTCATAAATGCCATAGATTTCTTCAATTGAAATATCAGTGTAAACAAATAAAACTATGTACTTTTTATGCATCCTAGAATACACAAAGAGTTGCATGAATTTTAGATATCAACTTCGGATTAGACATTTCTTTTATGTTTATAAAAAAGATTTGAAACAAGGTATTACGTTCAACATCTAGTGCTGGCAACAAATTGGAAACTCGACACAAATCAATTCTCAACACTTTTTTCTAATTATAAAATTATTTTG